GGCCAAAAAGCAACTATATACAATTATAGAATTAAGTCTTTTCTACTATAGTCTGAATTTCACTTCCATAAACACTGAGGTCTTGACTGATCCATGCAGCCAACAAAAAGAGCAAGTGTCCCCACCTGGACTACACCGTCTTGTGAATCCTCTTTCTGACTGGAAAGAAATTGTGCTGTTTCACAGGCTGTTCCTCAGTGCCAACAAATAATGTTGTTCCGTGCTGTGTGCAGAGAGCAGAGGAAGGGCAGGACCTACCACTGTTCAACCAGAGGCAATCCGGCCTCAGAAGGAGAATGTGAGCTGGTGACCGAGTCATCCACAGGCACATCTGAAATTGTGCATTGCGAATCTTTAGGTGATTTTTAATCCATTCAAAGTTGATGTATCATGATTAACTATCACAGAACAGTTCCAATTTAACTAGAAAATGAAGCAAAGCTCAGCCACTTAACATGATTATTTGCATCCATGTAAAACTGTCATTGAGTTTATGGGACACATGTCTACATTCCTACCTCAGCATATCTAGAACTGGAACAAAGTGGCAGTACCGTAATGGTGAGCTGCCTACATATGTAGCTTTTAATCTATAAAACTGGCTTTCCTTTCCTCCCCAGCCCTATGCAGGCATTTGTGCTCTTTCTTACCTGGTGAAGCTGATTGACAGATACAGCCCATTGCAAAAGAACAGCCATATCTTAAGGAATAGGTGACTTGCTGTAAACATTTAAATCTTCTGCTAAAACTCAAGCATCAGTTGAGGTATCACATGAAACAAAAATGTGGTTTTGTGACTTTGGTAGCATTTTTTTATTTCTATTAAAAAGACAAAAAATATTTTGACAAAATTTTTGAAATGAATGTAAGCTACCCTATAATCATTAATTAACAGAGACTTTATTACAGAAAAATGTGTTGCTGATAAGGATGATATAAAGTATTACAGGTAACAACTAAAGTCATATAGTAACCACTTTTGCTCTAGTTTTATTCACCCATTAATAATAATGAATGTAGAATTCTTGTTCTTAGAAATATTATTTAGCAATAGAGAATCCATAGGGAGGGATGCGAGCTGTTACGGTAAATATGTCTTTTCTGAAAGCACAAAAAAAGACTATATCATGCTGTTTCACAGAAGAGGCAATAGGAAAATCAGCAGGCCCAGGAGAATTTGCTGAGATTGGTGATGAACTGAACCACAGGCTGCCACGGCTGCTGTGAGGTGATTGGGCATCGCTGGGAAATTAAGCCTAGGACAGCTCCTCAGCTCTGTAGTCACTTCGCACCCTGGAAACTTTCTTATTAGACCGCGATCATGTTAGCTGCTTCGTGGCAGATGGTCCTTAAGTGGCATGTTCTCCATTTTGGGCCATATTGCTGAGTAGTGCTTGCCCCTTCTACCAGGCTTAGTCCCATCTGCCCAGACAGGTGTTTATAACATGATACCACTGCAGAATACATTGCAGGAAGTGTCCTCTTTAATCCTTGGCCCTAACTAGCCCTTTACTATGGGGATAGAAGAGTTCACTGGAGGATCACTATCAGTTTTGATAGGAAAAACCACATTACTAATGATTTTAACAGAAGCAGATTTGGAGCTCCTGATAAATACAATTTCACCAAACCAACAGAGACTCAAGACTGCAATTAAAAAGAAATGATCTTCCATGTCTAATGGCTTTCACATGGCATGATACTATTAAATAACCATCATTAGCTACTAAACCATGTACCACCCATTTTCCAGAGCCTTTTCTCTGCCAAGAAATTTAAGACCAAGAATGATCAATGAATGAATCATCAGCATAATAACTGTTGATATAGAACATGCAAATTGGAATCACTCAGAATGATTTAAAAGTGTAGAAGGAATTAGTACAGATGATAATATTACCCAGACATTAAAGCTACTCTTATAAGAAGCCCACAATTCATGTCTTTGCATCTACAATTTATGAGCAAAAAAAGAAATAAAGTATGATTCATGGGATGTCTTGAAAAAACAAAATAAGGAGATTTGGGGTGATTTTCTAGGTATTGTGTTGGGTTCTCAGGACAGAAGGATAAATAAAATATAGCTCTTGTTCTCAACAAGCTCACAGATTTATAAGGTGGGACAGCCAAGTACACACAAAGAAAAAAAACAGTACAGCAGGATGAATGCAATAATCAAAGCCTGCACCTGGTTCAGGATATCACAGGGGAGAACAGCTTGTGGGAAGAAAAGCACTGCTTAAGAATCCAAAACTTCCTCAATTAACATTTTGCATTCCTTCCTTCCTGGAAAATATTCCTTGCTTCTATCTAGAAATGTTCCCATTATGGAGGCAAGGGAAGACGATAACCAAAGAAGGGAGAGCTAGAGAACAGGTATGCTGGAAGCAGAAAAGAAGTTCTTCTCAATTCAAGACTTTAAACATATGAGTGAAAAAATGAAAAAGTTTTCAATATGATAAGATGGTAGAGTCCTGAGTTTTCACAAGCTGTGATCTTTGAGCATTATAGCGATCCCAAGCCTATAATAATTTTCCATTTCTTTAGGAAATATTTATATTGCATGAGGTCTCAGGGGAAGGCAAGATTCCTAGCAGGGCTCCTGCTCTTAGAATAATTTAAAAACAGTTGCAACTTCAATCCACATGTTGCTTATCCAGAAGTGCCACCTTTAGTTTTTTGTTTTGTTTTTGCTTTTGTTTGCTCATACTTTGGTTCATAGATACAATGACAAAAACATAGCTGAAGAGATTTAGTAACACCGCATGTCTCAATCACTTTTTTTAAAGTAAAATTTACATAATGTTCTTAATTTTAGCCATTTAAAGCACACAACTCGGTGGTTTTGGTGTAGTATAATGCCGTCCAATCATCATCATTGTCTAACTCCACAACATTTTCCTAATCTAAAAGTATAACCTCCTGCTCACTGAGTAGTTCTCCATTTCCTTATTTCCTCAGCCCCTGGCAATCACTAATCTGCTCTGTCCCTGTGTGTTTGCCTGTCTTCAAGATGGTATATAAATGGAATCATGCAATACAAGACCTTTTATGTCTGGCTTCTGTCATTTTTGTCTGATGTCTGCAAGGGTCATCTATATTCTAGCAAGTATCAACACTTCATTGCTTTTAAAGGATGAATAGGGGCTGGGGATTTAGCTGGGGCTGGGGATTTAGCTCAGCGGCAAAAGCGCCTGGCTGGCAAGCGCAAGGTCATGAGTTCGGTTCCTGGTACCGGAGAAAAACCAAAAAAATAAATAAATAAATAAAGGATGAATAATAGTCCATTCTACAAATAAACCACTTTTTGCTTATTCATTTATCAATTGGCAGGCATTTAGGTTGTTTCCACTTGGGGCTATTAGAACAGCCATGTGCAAGTTTTGGTTCCAATACTTTTTTTTTTCAAGAGGTAAAGAACAGAGGTGGAATTGCTGGGTCACTTGGTGATTCTATCTTATGCCTTTTGAGAAATCATCTAACATTTTTTACTAAAGTTGCATCACTTTTTATTCCCACCAGTAATGAATGTATGAGTTTTCCACTTTCTCCACATCCTCTCTAACATTTATGTTCGGTTTCTGCAGATTATTACAACCATTTTAGTGGGTGCAAAGTGCTATCTCAATCACTTTCAATAGATAGGAACTAATTCACAAGCAGAGAGGGCATGCTCATGTCGGATCTTAAGTGTTTCTATTTTGTATGTGGAGCCACAACTTAATTGAGAGTATTTTTTTTACATCAGCTACAAAGTGAATGCAATGAAATTTTAATGACAAAACTACCTTTTACTAAATCCCATAACCCACCACCCCCAGAGCCACCATAATCAAAGTCAAGACCTCTAAATGATGACTGTTGACATGCCAACCCCCAGAAATACAGCATAACGTGTTTAGTCAGTGAGTGCAGAGGGATGGAAACTACTGTGAGGCTTGGCTAGTAAAATGCTCTTGGGGAGGCGGACTACTCTTTTCTTGGGGCAGGGGTTAACCTAATGGACATTCGTTGTTTCCTCCCCAGATGTGCTGTATTTTTAAAATAAAAAGAAATATAACTGAAGTAACAATTCCCTGCCCCACTGTAGAGAAATTTCATTTCTATAAAGTAATGGGTTAAACATCTTCAGCCATAGGAAATTTCGAATTCCATCCTAACACTTTTCTCATTAATAATTCAATGTCATTGCACATATTCCTATGAGAATCTATTGTCATGTATTTTAACCTCTGATGTTATCATCAGCACACTACAAATTATCTTTTCCCTTCCAAGAACACTTAGTTTTGGGAACTAAAACACATATATGTAAATCATTACCTGGACAAAGCACAGGGCTTTAAACATTATGCTGTTTGTATTTAATTTGTGCTTCCATTTCTGTATGCTAGACTGTCTGGTACAGATATCTTCCATGAGTTTAGTTTCTGCTTGCTTCTCCTTGGGGTAAATGCACTGAGGTAAGTGAACACTGAGATGCACTGCACATTTAGGGGATGGACTGTGGTTCTTCCTTTGGGACAACCTGAAAGGCAACGGGAAGCTCAGAATGCTGGGATGTCCCAGACATCAGTTTAAAATCATGGTCATTGAAAAATATCTTCTTTCTTTCACGGAAAACCTTCAACTGCTAGATGAAGTCAGCAAGCTTCAGGGCTGCCTAGGTCGACGTCTGTCTCAATGGTTTAGGCACGTAAACTAGAGCCAGGTTAAACCTCAAGGGAACTAACACTGCATGAAAAAACTCAAATGTCGCCTCTTTGATCCTGAGGTTGGTGACAGGTCTGGTCAGCCTCACAGCCAGCAGCGAGTGGATTTAAAGGAGCCAGCGTCCCCGCCAGCTGCGCTCTCCCTCCCCGAACCGTACCCCCACCCCTGCTGCCCTCTCTCCAGGGTGCAAAATACAGCCGGGACGCGGGCGGAGCTGTTCCGAGCGCGCAGCCTTATCTTTCCCGAGTGAATACCTAGATGGATTTCCAATATCGTGCCTGGCACGTTCCGGAGGGAGCCTCAAGCTCCTCTTGAGCTCCCAGCCGCGCATCCCGATTTCTACAGTCCATTTTCCCGTGGGAGACAGGGGGCTCTGGGCGTTACAAGCTTTATTAAGAGACTGGCAGTGGTTCATTCAGACCTCTGAACCCCTCGCCCTCCAAGAGCTGTCCTGGGTTTTGCAACTCAGAATCCCCTAAAGCATCCCCGTGGCTCTTTCTGCTCGTTTTGCTCACAGCTTAGGATCAGTTTCCACGACTCCGCGAGTATTTGCGTGGGCACTTGTGCTGGGGCCAAGCCCAGAGGGAGTTGGACTGCGCGCGCGGAGAACGTCAGCGCGCCGGCAGACCTCATGCACTTCGCACTGGCCATCTACGCGTCGGTCTGGAGGTAGAGCGCTTTGGAAAGGAGGCTCCTGGCTTCCCGGCAGGTCGGAAGGGCAGGGCAAGCGGGGGTGGGAGGTGGGTCCCAGAAAAATTCCCAGGACAGGAGCTAGGGTTCTCCCCAGGAGGGGGCAGTAACTGAGGGAAGCTGAGAGGAACTCCAGACACCCGTGTTTGGAGTTCCTTTCAGTCTTTGCTTGGGGTAGGAGTGGGTGGGATGGGACAGAATTTACACTTTAGGCTCCCAGCTGCCCTCCAGGTAGGCGGAGACACTCCGCTGGTGCCTCTGGGGGATGCGTAAAGGTGACCTGAGGGAGCGCTTAAAGTGCTCCTCTAGTTGAGCCTGGGAAGGAAAAATATGGGGGGAGGGAGAACAAACCACCTGGGTACCCCCCCCCTTCATAGTTGCTGACGCGCGGGTGGTGCTTATTAATCATTCACCAGTCCGGAGCTGCGCCAGTTAATGGCTGTGCCACGCCGGGCTCCAGCCCCTCGGCCGCTTCTTCCCAAGCTTCCGAGTGCCCAGACGCCCCGGAGCGGCCAGAGGCAGCGCGCAGGCAGCAGCGGGGCGATGCGCCCCGCCGGCGCTCGTAGGAGCTGCTTTCTCCGCCACCGCTGAGGTCTACCCCAGGCGCCAGGTGGCTGTGAGCTGCAGGCGACAGGCCGGGTGTCTAGAGAGGGCGCAGGCGGCGGGGCGCAAGAAGAACGCCCCAGCGCCCGCAGCCCCACCGACCCCCCTCGGCTGGGATGTTCCCCAATGGCACCGTCTCCTCTGCTTCCTCCTCTCCCAGCCCCAGCCCGGGCAGCTGCGGCGAAGGCGGCTGCAGCCGGGGCCCCGGGGCCGGTGCTGCGGACGGTATGGAGGAGCCGGGGCGAAACGCTTCCCAGAACGGGACCTTAAGCGAGGGTCAGGGCAGCGCCATCCTCATCTCTTTCATCTACTCCGTGGTGTGCCTGGTGGGGCTGTGTGGGAACTCCATGGTCATCTACGTGATCCTACGCTATGCCAAGATGAAGACGGCCACCAACATCTACATCCTCAACCTAGCTATTGCCGACGAGCTGCTCATGCTCAGCGTGCCCTTCCTGGTCACCTCCACGTTGTTGCGCCACTGGCCCTTCGGCGCCCTGCTCTGCCGCCTCGTGCTCAGTGTGGATGCGGTCAACATGTTCACCAGCATCTACTGTCTGACTGTGCTTAGTGTGGACCGCTATGTGGCCGTGGTGCACCCCATCAAAGCAGCCCGCTACCGTCGTCCCACAGTGGCCAAGGTGGTGAACCTGGGCGTGTGGGTGCTGTCGCTGCTTGTCATCCTTCCCATCGTGGTCTTCTCACGCACGGCGGCCAACAGCGACGGCACAGTGGCCTGTAACATGCTCGTGCCCGAGCCTGCCCAGCGCTGGCTGGTGGGCTTCGTGTTGTACACTTTTCTCATGGGTTTCCTGCTTCCCGTCGGGGCCATCTGCCTTTGCTACGTGCTCATCATCGCCAAGATGCGCATGGTGGCCCTCAAGGCCGGCTGGCAGCAGCGTAAGCGCTCGGAGCGCAAAATCACTCTAATGGTGATGATGGTGGTGATGGTGTTTGTCATCTGCTGGATGCCTTTCTACGTGGTGCAGCTGGTCAACGTGTTCACCGAGCAGGACGATGCCACGGTGAGCCAATTGTCCGTCATCCTGGGCTATGCCAACAGCTGCGCCAACCCCATCCTCTATGGCTTCCTCTCGGACAACTTCAAGCGCTCTTTCCAGCGCATCCTGTGCCTCAGCTGGATGGACAACGCCGCGGAGGAGCCCGTCGACTACTATGCCACAGCCCTCAAGAGCCGCGCCTACAGTGTGGAGGACTTCCAGCCCGAGAACCTGGAATCTGGAGGCGTCTTTCGTAATGGCACCTGCACTTCCCGGATCACTACTCTTTGAGCCCGGGCCCTGCCCTAAGGAAGGGGGAGAGTGAGGGGTTAGGAGGCGGAGTGTGAAGGAGATTATCTGTAGGCGCCCGGTGCGATGGGGGTTCCCTAGGCTAGGCTCCTTTGTCCCTTGCCCCTCGGGGGGAGGGACCTAGGAAAGCCTCAGGAAGACCAAGGTAGAACTGAGAGCTTCGCTTACAGTTTGGGAAGGCTTTCTGCCCACCTTCTTCTGTCTCCCCCTTTTTGCCTCCTCCTCCACTGTGCTTGCTGCTCCGCATCCCTTTATTCCCCACACGCTGTAACTTCCCTCCTTCCCTGCCCACCGTCCCGCCTGTGCAGATCACTCACTCAATGCCGCCGCCTCTCTCCAGTCCGCAGCCTCTCCAGCTGTTATTTCTGTTTGTTTTAACTGAGCCTAGGTTGCAGCCACGTTTCCCTCTGGGTGGGTTCCTACTCTGCCTGGTGCTCCTGGCAGTGACTGGGGAGCTACCGCTCTCCTTTTGGGGATCTTCCACTTGAGACTGAACTAGGCAGACTTAAACTTTGAGAGAAGTCGCACTCAGACATGAACTGGGCAGCATCCTTCCGTGGCACACTCCACAGCCCCGAATCCACCCTGAGCAGAGCCAGGTGCTTAGTAAGTAAACCAGGTCTGTGGTTCGCACACCAAGCAGGCGCTTTGCAGTCCCGCACCCTCGCTCCCTTTGAAGCAAAAAGGAGCTTGAGAACAAGCCTTTGTAGATCACTGGGTTGCCAAGGGAGTGCCCTATCATCCAGCCTCCTTCCTGGCTCAGAAGTGAGCTCTCTGTTTCAAAACTCCTACCCCCCTAGAGCAGCTGTTTCTGTGGGGCTAGGGAGAGGGCACTTTCCTAGGGCACTACGCTGAAGCCAAGAAGCTCCCTCTCTAGGTTTCTTCGGAAGTGGACCTGACCTAAGAATCACAACACACTGGGTTTCCTGCTCCAGTTTAGGTCCTTAGGGGCAAGGAGGCAGAGACCTAGGGTGACAACTTAGAACCTTGGCCAAAATTGGCCATGTGACCACAGCCTGCAGGCTGGAGCACAGTCTGTCTGGCCTGTGAGGGTGGCTGCCTTTCAAGTGGTGCCTAAAAAGTTACTTTCTTGTTGAACATATTTATTTATTTATTTATTGGTGGTGTTGGAAAATGTGTTTGTGCTTTCCTGTCTCCCCTTGCCTTGCCCAGGCGTTTTCTTGGGGGAGCCGGAGGGGTTAGAGTGGAGTGGGAATGGAGGAAACTTTCTCCCGCTCCAAGGCCTCCTCAGAACTTTCTCTCTGCTGGACCTTCTTATCTTTTCCTCCAGCATTTCTATTTTTGCTGTGTCCAGTGAAATTTGGAGATTTTTCATATTTTTTTTATTGTTGCTGCTTGTCTTATAATAATAAAATAAATGACAGTGTGGGCTAGCTTCCTGTCCATGCAGAGTGAAAAGCCTGGGACTCCTTGCTTTCTAGGAAATACATACAGGGGAAGCATCACTCTACATGTGAGTTTTGTGTGTATGGGTATGTATGCGTATACTCATATTATATATATTTATCTGGTCCCATTGTCATGAGTCCATGAAACAATTTCAAGTATAGCCACTAACAGTGACAAGTGTGGCTCCGGCTAGAAAATTTTCAGGTGTAGGGGTGCAAGCAGCACTCAATCTAGAACTGAGAAATCTAATTCAAAGACTTTAATCGTGGCTGAGAATGTCCCTACTTCTTCTAGGTTCCAGCAGAAATGATTCTTGCAATCCAGTTTACATAGTCACTACTTTTTGAGAACACTGAAAGTGAAATGATTTGTGTTTATGTTTAATCTTGCCAACTACATTGATAATCCTAGCAGGGCAAGGACCAATAATTTTACTTCTTTGTATTTCTTGTATTGCTTAGTATGCTGGCTTGTACATATATGCACTAGATACATGTTTGTTGTTTGATTGTTGAAATAAGCCAGAGTGTATTACAATGATCTGGAGATAATAATCTGGGATTCTCAGGTTCTCTCATTGATTTGATACACAATGGTTGAACTTACTGTAGAAAAAGGTGTTTCCTGTATATTTGCTTCAACATTGTGCTTTTCTAAAAGCAGTAAACAACAGCTAAATATTTCTAATGTTTAGTTTAAACTAATGAACAAATATCCTTTTGATCAGAAGTCTGAAAGTTTAGATCTGTCCCTTAATAATACTATATATTATTACTCTTTTGGAAAATAGATTTTTAATGTTTAAGAACAGTGGAATTTACAAATCAAAATCTTGATCATCATCCTCTTAACAGGAGACCAATCTAGTCCTCTTTACCTGCTATCACTGTAATACTAACTCAATAAACAGATGTCTGATGCTACTGCAAGTCCTCCGACTGCCGCTTGAATTTTACTGTTTTAGTGGATTACTTAAACGCGCGCACGCACACACAGACACACACATACACAGCCTTGATTGCTTTCTGTTTCACTTACAGTTTAGGAAGAAAGATTTCAGATTATCTTTGGAAATTTTACCAAGGTTGCAGTTATTTTTTTAAAGAAAATTCTGTTAATTCAGTGAGAGAGAGGGAGAGAGAGAGAGAGAGAAAGAGAGAGAGAGAGAGAGAGAGAGAGAGAGAGAGAGAGAGAGAGAGAGAGAAACAGTTGAGCCAGTATGAATAAGAAACAATTCCCCGCGTTGCAGTCTGTTGTCACCAAACCAAGTAGACAATCCTTTCATCTTTAACAGATTAAATTAGTGTCCGCCCTCACTTATAACCTCAGACTTTGTTGTTGGAGCTAAGTAATTGTTGATTTATATCCGGAGAAAAGATAATGATAGGGAAAATATTTCTTAAAAATGTTGCAGAGTGTAGTGGTTAAAAGAAATGGGAAAGTCAGATTGAAACATAAGGAACACAAGGGAAAAGGAGGTACTCTATGCTTTGTTCACTGATAGCTATTTCCATCCTGGGAGAATATAAGAAGGCACTAGGAGAGTATTTTTAAAGACTTTAATTTTTACAGTAGCTTTATTTTCACAGCAAAATGAACAGAAAGAAGTAGTTTCCAAATAGATGACAGCAGTAATTTTAGGACCAGAGTGGGAGGTGGGTTTTCAAATGCTCTGTAACTCCAAGCTTAATTGAGTGCTGTACATTACCCGAGTATGACAAGAATGATTGAACTTTTTATAATCTTTAAGGCTATTGCAAAGTGACAAATGGAAAATTAAACTTCCAATTTACATGTGGCAAAGAAAACACATTTTATTATTTTATAATTTTTGCATGACCTTGTCCATTCTAAGTACATGTCTATCACTGAGCTACAGTGGCAACCCCTAAATTTTGTTATTTTTAATTTAGTTGATCTAAACATTATTCCAAGTACTTTTCACTTGGTTAGCTGAGCGGAAAAAATGTAATAAATTTACAGCACCCAGCCAAGTTATTTGCTTATTTATTTATTTATTGAGCTGTGCCTGGGATCAAACCTAGGGTCTCTCGCATGCTAGGCAAGCACCCTGCTTCTGAGTTAGACCTCCAGCCCCTGAGCTAACAATTTCAATAGCTATGCTTTCAATTTCAAAACTTTATTTCCATAAGCTTGGACAGTCTCTCAGCTGCCTTTCTCTTGCTCTTTTTGTCATCTGTAGAATGAAATTAGAATGAATGTGGGGAGATTTTACATATCCTAGTGGAGCAAGAAATTAGGTGGAGTCCTTGGGAAAAAGACCTTCTCTGTCTTTCACTCTCTGACACCAGGTCACTTGTGGACTTTGCTGCTTCCCGGGTGTAATTTGATGAAAGAAAGCAGCCAAAGCCTGTGGCAAGACTTCTGCTTTTGGTGAAGGCTGCACCTGAATTCCTGCGAGCTCCAGCCTCTGTGTCTTGCGTGGTCTTGGACAACCCACTAGCCTACTGGGCTGTCCCACTCTTTGATGTGGAGTCACTTACACCTGCCACTGCCACACTTGGTGAACCTGTGCGTTCAGTGTTTTTTAGGAGACTTAAGGCAGCTCAGATTGTTGACCCTCAGGATCTCCTCAGATCACTGCGCCCTCCTTTTACATGGCTGGCTGTGGTGCCTCTTTCTTTACTTTTGCCAGCCTCACTTATTAAAACATTTCACACTTCCCATATCATCTTTGCTGGAGGAAATCACAGAGGAAAATCACTGGAGGAAAATCACAGAACTTGAGTACTTCTGTCTTAGCCCTTCATATTGTCTAGCAGGAAAATTGTCACCTCCCATCCAAACCCACACACATGCCTGGTTTCTCAGCATTTTTATATTGAACACAAGTCTCTTATCCTGAGATCCTGAGCCTCATTTCAAAGGGAGAGGCTGATATGAAGCATGATTTATAGAGGAAGGTAAAATGTGTCACTTTAGTATCTGTGAACTATTATCTTGCTTCTAAGTGACCTCTGGTTTCCCAGAGTAGTATCTGGAGGCCATCTTCTCACATGATGCCTGCTGGAAAGGGTCATATTTTAAACACTTTGATGATTTATCCATGTTAACCTGACTATTGACCAATTGTTGAGTATGCTGCTCTGGCCTAAGAAAAATAGCGGGAAGTTTCCCTAGGGATTAATAGGGAAACTGCAGTTTTAAAAATTGTAATGTATTTCAAACCTATGTTAAATAAATTGATACCATATACAGCTAATTAAAAAAAAACTCTTTGGTGTTAGGGTTATTTTTCTTTCACAACTGGCTCAATCTTTTCTTATTCCAAAGTACATCAGAGAGGTTGCTGCTTAACTGAATTGGTTAATAGTAGTCACTGTTAACAGTGGTAAAAGCATACAAATCACATCGTTGCAAAGTCTATGCTGTTGACTTCTTGAGTTACACTGAGCTAATGAGAACCTCTTCCACATACGCAGATAGATATCATGCTTCTCATCCAATACATTTCACTTTGTTGGCTTTACAACCAGGCAGACAGGTTCTACATTATGACATGCTTTCCCTAGAAGAAGGTAGGGAGAAAGATAACATTGCAAGAGATCACTTATTATTTTATTCACTATCTGGAGACAGAGTATTACAGGGAGCATGTGTGTAAAAAGACTATGTGATGAGTGATCAGATACAACTCAGCTTCTGATTTAACTATTAAAAAAAGGAAGATATTTCTGAAGCAATGACAAGGATGAAGAGGCCTGTGAAGAGACATGACCAGCTCAAACTAAAATTAAAAAAGAATGTGCTTGGAAAGAGAGGAGTGCTGCCTTCAAGGAAGATGCAATTTTTAAATAAAAGTCTTTTAGTGCAGTGTTCACTTTGACAATAAACTAAATTATTGTCAAAATATGTATCAAGCTCAATCTTAGCCAAAAGCTAGAAATATCATACTCATTTAAGGCTGAAACTATAGGCATGCTACCATCGTTCTTTTTGAGTAATAATAAACTTAAAACTCAAAAATAAATATTTCTTTAAACTAGATTGTCCACATCTTCAATTTGGAGTGGGCAAGATAGATAAGAAGAAGTGAGAAATGGTAAATGCTATCAGCTGACATATTATCTCTTCAGAGCAGTTTAACTCTAACCCATCCTCGATGCCTATGTGACAGGAGCTATTACAGATAAAGACTCAAGTACTCTCAGCTTTAAGAATTTAAGATTTACTTTGTATTAGATTCTACTTGGAAAGCACCATGTTAGGCAGAGGAGGACGCTGTGGACATATTATGTACAGAAATAGTCTTGGCTTTTTCAGGAATAATATCTATTTCAAAAGTCAATTTAAATTTAAGAGACATTCAAGACATGATAGGCAAGCAGGATAATATTCTACAAGAGCATATGTGACTTACATGAGTATTTGGGGAAAAGGTGTCCCAAATGATGAACAATAGCTCTCAATATGTCCTTTCCATCTCTATTACCCTTAACAATTAGTTAATTTAGTTAATATTATTAGCAATGGCAACACATCTATTCAAAGTCAATAATTACATTAAACTTTCTCCTTTACATCCAGTGAGCCAGTGTAACTAGCAAACCAAGTAGATAACTGTCTTTTCCAAAAGACTTTCAAATCTCTCTGTGTATAAGCTCTGGTACTCGAAATTAAAATACACATATACATAATACACACACAAAATGTAATTTAAAAAGACATTAAGTAATTGTTGGTAAAATAAAACTTCAATTTGTTTTTTGCCATGTTAACTTTTAAGGTTCAAGTAGTACCTTTTCTCCTAGCTCAGGACTCTGTGTTTTATAACTTTTCCACTTTTCTAGTAAAGATCTCCAGAAGAGAGATCTTTCCTATGATTTATGGTTTGTATAATTGACAAGGCTTTAGATATTATTCTTTCATTCTCTGAAGCGAGGTTTTTAGATAAGAATATCATATCAAGACATTAGACAGCAGTGTCCTTGAAATCACATCTTCTAAGACAAAAATTTCACAAGTGGTCTATAAGTGCTGCATCAGAATCACCAGAGAACTTATAAAAATACGTATTCTCTTTCAAAAAAAATTGGATTCACTAGGTCTAGGGTAAAACTTGATAATTCCAACCTACACAAAAGTTTGAGAACTAAAAGCTTAGGTGTTAAGAGAATGGTGCTGGCTATCAGCAGACTTGGTTGTGTATTATTTGTTTAATGTGGGGCAACTTAATCTTACACCACCCGTGAGGTCAGAATAATGGCATGCTTTCAGTGGGGCTGATGTCAAATGCCAAGTCAGAGATTTTATGGATGGTAATGAATGGAAACACAAATAGATCACATAAGGAAAAAAAAAATCTTGAGAAGATGTGGCTTCAGGGTGCACTTGATACATAATTCACTAGAAACTTTTTTTAGTCTTCATCTTCATTTCTCATCCTCTCTGACTTCTGTTCTGCCATGCTGGCCCCATTTTCAGGCTGGATATTCTTTTGTAATTAATTATAAGATAGATGCAGAAAGTGCAATGTGACATCTTTCCAGGTTCGTATTTCAGAGGAAGCAGGGCATATTCTTTTGAATTGTGCTGCCTGAGACCATTTGCTTGTGCAGAGGCACTCTTCCACGGACGCCTCATCCTCCATACATCTCACTTGGTGTGCCAGGTTTGTGAAGCGCCAACTGAGAATTGCTGCCCACCTGGATGACTTTTCAATGGGATGTTTGCAGGAAGCATTTTTGAACAACCAGGCATTGTCTCTTTCAAGGACAAACAGAAGGTTTGAATACTCCTTTCTGTAAAGTGTGGTTTCCCTGAAGTCAGTGCCCCTAAGCTGTGACATAAATCCACTGCTTCATTGATTCCATTTGCCTTATACTGTATCATCTACAAAGGTAAAGAATAAAAATCACACTGTTTTCTGGCTATTCTATTAGTGATAAATCCTTTGTCTCTGACTCCAGAATCTCGCATCTTCTGGAAATCCAT